TAGAGAGGGTGATGCGCTCCCGCACGGGATCGAACCGCGGACCTTGGGATTAACAGTCCCACGCTCTACCTACTGAGCCACAGGAGCACGGGGGAGCCTCCCCCACCTGCCCTCTTATGTGGATCCCCTGCCTTTTTTCCGCCTCCAGCCACTTGGGGCCGTGTCACACGCCCCGACACGCGTGCACGCACGCCGACGGCCGCGCACACACACATACAAACAAAAGCATGTGCTGGTCGATGCAGGTATGCACACATGCATACAGATGTACGCATGCAAATGTACGCATACAGATGTACGCATACAGATGTACGCATGCAGATGTACGCATGCAGATGTACGCATACAGACACATACATATACAGATGCACGCATACAGACACACGCATTCGTGCCCACACCCACGCACACCTACACCCATGCACGCCGAGACGCACCTGCAAATGGACGGCAAGACTTGGCGCTCAATCAGGCGCAGATCGCCAACATGGTAGAAGGACAGGTGCTCCGACAGAAGGACCCCGTGCGCCAGTGTCCCGGCCGCCGACCAGATCCGGTCCACTCGGGAGGAGCCCGACGCGGACTCGAGGCCGCTGTCACCACCCCCGGCCACCGTCACACCCCCGCGCGTCAGGGCCCACCCGGAAGACCGGCCAGCCAACTCCTGGAAGGCGGCCGCCGCCCCGCGTCGAATGCTGACCGACACATCGAACAGCGCCGCTGCCAGGAGCTCGCGTGCCAGGCGCCCATGCAACAGCCACAGTAGCGCTGCCGAGCCGCCGGACCGGTCCCCGGTGCCCGGCTGACCATCAACCGGGTGCTCGAAGGCCACATACGAAGGGTGCGGATGTCGCGAGAGGGCTGACCCGAGGACCGAGCGGGGAGTAGAGGTGGATCCAACGACGTCAGCAAGAGGGACCCACAAAGAACCCCTCTTCCCAGCTGATGGGGACACGGGGAGGAGCAGGGAAGCGGAGAGGGGGAGAAAGAGAGAAAGAAAGAAAGAAGCAGAGGGAGAGGCAGAGCCGGTAGAGACAGCAGAGGAGCTGGAGTTGAAGCAGCAGGTGGACAGCGAAGGGGGCACGAGGGATCATCGGACCCGGGACACGCACCCCACGCCAAAAAGCAGGCCGTGTCGCGCACCGACACCACCAGACGCCGAAGCGCCGGCCGACTGGGCCCTGGCGGGAAGTGGTCCACCGTGAGGGTCAGCGCGTCGCAGGCTACCCCGGTTAGCCGGGCCAGCAGGGCCACCAGCTCTTCGGAGAGACCCGGCCCGCCGGGTGCCCCCTTGGACAGATCTCGCCGAGTGGCCTCGGCCACCGTAAACAGCACCCCGTGCAGGAGATTGGCATCGTGCGACCGGAGGAGCGTCTCGCGCCCGGGGACCCCGGCTGGCCCGGCCACCGCATCCAGCAGGTCGGCCACCAGGCGCAAGCGCACCACAGGCGCCAGGCGCGCCGACAGCACCGCCAGGCACTTGGCCGAGGTCATCCTCACCCCGGAGTCCTGCACACGCGAGACACCCGGCGCGAGGATGGGGGGTAGTGGGGGAGTGGGGGAGTGGGAAGAAAAACGGGATGGATTGTTTTGTCCGGGCCGGACCGGAGGAGGAGCGGGAGAAAAGGGGGCGTGAGCGAGAGAAGGCACCAGAATGTAGGGGCCCTGGCAAGTGGTGGCATAGGCGCCGATATCCGGAAGGGGCAGACCGCGCACCGAGTCGGCCAGATTCCGGAAGCAATGTTGCAAACAGATGTTCGATGCCCATTGCGACACCTCGGCGAAGTCGGCCGCCTGGTACACGAAGGGCGAGGCTCCGTGGCTCGACACCGCGAAGGCGGCGGCGCCACGTGCCTCGACCGACAGCAAGTGACCAAAGGCAGTGTCGGCGGCCGGCGGCAGGAGGTGCACCGTGCACTGTGCGAGGACCTTGAGCTACAGGCGTGGGGGGAGGGAGGGAAGCGAGTAGCCAAGTGGCGAGCAGGATGTCAGATCGACGCCATGGCGAGGTGGTCTTTGTGCGCGCGTGTGTATGGAGGAGACGGAGGAGGAGCGGGGTGGTAGAGATGGAGAGAGAGATGGAGAGAGAGATGGAGAGAGAGAGATGGAGAGAGAGAGATGGAGAGAGAGAGAGATGGAGAGAGAGAGAGATGGAGAGAGAGAT